CGCGAGCTAGAGTCGATCGGCTGGCAGGCGACGACGCATGACAGACGACGCTGACGCCCTCTCGTGTCGGAGGCCAAGACCCACTTCGGGTCGCTGCGCCAACGTAGTAAGTATGTTTCAAGTAAAGCGATATGTATACGAGGGTAGTCAAAGGTTAAGTAAAGTAAGGCATTTACTAAAATTATAACTTGTTTCTCTACAATTCAGTAACATAGTTCTAATATGGTAACGGTATGGATATCGTTATTTAAACATTTTAAAAATGTTAATCGAATTTCCACGAACATTTAAATGTCAAATTCAGTTCTAGTTTTTGAGGATGTGTACAAGACGCGCGGGAATTCGTTGCGAGACAATGCGACGCGATAACTCATTTTAATTTGATGGTATTATAATAATTCGAAGCATCGATGTTGCTATTTAAAAAAAGAACGTAGTACCATGTCGGTATTCGACGCTCGTAAGCCGAGAGGCACGCATCTGTGTTCGCCGCGCGAATTCCACCGCACTCGTTGTTTTCATTTTATACCCTTGAAACATTATCTGGCAATAAGGCGGGAAAAAGGTTAAATGAACAAACGACAACAGCGAAACTTTACAACGAGATTATTCGAAGGCAAACGTGACAAGAGTTACGATTTTGTAAAGTATATGTTAAAATTGTAAATACCATAGTCTTGATTCTATCGCAAAAGCAGCGGTTAAAGTTGAAGTAGGTAGCAAAAAATGATAATTACAGAAATTCTAGTCTATGGTTGGATAAAGAAAATTATTCTTCTCAGAGACAAATTCAGGAATGCCATTACAATAATCATACGAAGATCCACCGGAATTCAGCAACACGTTTTATGTCTTTATTCATTAAAAAGCCGTTCTAATTAAAATTGCTAGGGTGTTTCGCGCCAATAAATCTCGACGGGGCCGCATGTTCGCGCGCTTTTTGCTCTTGTCCGCCATCTTGGTACATATTTGCGGTGGCTGACGTTAACACCTCCCGCGCGGGTACAATGCTGCCGCTGTCGGCGAGGCAAAGGCCCCGGCGATTTGCGGCCACGCCGTGCAAATATATCGGGCGACAATACTAAAGCACAGTCGTAAGTAAACTCACCTCGGATATATGGCAGCGGGAGAGTATTGTTCGTGAACAGATCGCATCTTTTCCGGCTAATAGAATGGTGATGGTGTTGATTTTACGCTGTTGCGTTCTCTTAGATAATGGTTGTGTAACTTACGAGATATCTCTGATAAACATTGGTTGGGAAATGTGAAAACTAAAACCATAGGTTGTATTCGTGCGCCGAAATTACTGCAAGTTTGGCAGAATAGAAAAAAGTTCAACTTTTTTAGCGTTAACCCCAAGTGCTGTATTACTAGTGCATGGATCAGCACAAAAGATGTAAATACCTGAAATAAAAGTAATTAACAGTTTTGTAAACGAAAATTGTCAAAAAGAAAAATTTAATACAATATCAATGTTTAAACTTTTACGATTTGTAAACTTTCAAGATGTTCGAAAATTTGTAGTTTTATTCACTTTTTTTTTTATAAAAAGCTGCGTTCATTTCAACGACGCAATTTATAGCAACAAAAATAACACGTTCAAACGCAACTCATTAAATATTTATTGTCTTATAAAAATCTGATTGGGTTCAAACAATATTGATTGAACGAGGCTGACGCAAAACAATTATAATATAATATCAAGTTGTCCATATTTTGCTTATGAATTAAATATTGGTGAGTTCAACGCGCCGGATGTCCATTGGCTCTATGGCCGCCACGTCTTTTGCTTTGGTTACAAAAATTGTAGACAATCGAATTATTTAAATGTTTTTTTGAATTACGATTTCCGGTTACGTAATGTATTGATAGGCTAATAAAAAGCTAGTGTCGTTTTGATAACTTTTTTTAAATATTAAAGATCATTATCGCCAGCTATACGTCCTCACCCTCACTGAGGGGCTCGGAGCCTACCCTAATAAAGGGTGACTAGGACATAGTCAACCACGCTCACGCTGGCCCAGTGCGGGTTAGTTGTGTTCACACATATTTTTGAATTTGTTCGCCGATATGTCCAGTTCACGATGTTTTCATTTACCGTAAGAACGTCGGGTAAAATGTGTACACATTAAATTATAAAATCAAGTATTAAAAAAAAACGTATTTCTTAGTATCCCTGCAACACTTTTGCCTTCTTTTGTTTTTTGTTTTTCTATCTTAGCTTAGCTTAGCTTGTGACATAACAGCATGCAGAGAAGTAATATTGCGTCAAAGTGGCGGACACACGACACGATTGATTTGGAATGCGGCTGCTGCTGCGATTCATTAAAGTGGCATTCATTTTATACAACATTCATTTAGTTGCAAAAATCTATTAATTTATGGAAGTCTTGCGGTAAAACAAAAAAAAGCGCCTAATACCGAACTATTCATAATCATTGTGGTGAATAAAAACATACAGAACCTTTTTGAAAATCGATTCTAAAATTTAATCGATCTTATAATTTCGGCAACTAAGTACCATTCTATCTCTTCCGGAATTAATTTAAGCTATGTTAAAAAACAATGTGTAACAAAAATTGTCATTTAAATTATGAAGACACTATCAACTAACATGTTTTGTTTTTATTTGCAAATGCCGGTATATAAGCGCCATCTAGGTGTGCAAAAAATTAAAAAATAACATTAAAATACAACAATAGATGTCACTGATAGTTCAAAAAATTCCATGTAAAGCGACTATTCACATATTTTTATATTTAAATCAAAAATTATGTTATTTCGTGGAAACTGCAAAACAAAGTTCAGCGAAATTGTACATTTAATAAGAAGAGATGATGATCACATAAATAAATATAAAATTGAATGTGTATTGCCACAAAGGTCGAGGAAAACCAAAGAAAGTATGGATGAAATGTTTCTTCTTCAAGTGCCATCTAGTATCGGAGGCATTCGAAGAAGAAGCATTTCACTTGTATATTTTTTTTTCTATTAAAAGGGGGTTGTCGGTATGAGTGAATAAATGTTAATGGCACTCATAAATAAAAAAGAAAAAAAAACATACAGACGAATTGAGTACCTCTTTCTTTTGGGAAGTCGGTCAATAATTTAGTCTGCATCTGAAGCTTGTTGTTTTATTACGTGTTCCCGCTCTTTAACACCATGATATGCTTAAAAAAGGATAAGAAGGGAGTGAATTCAGATATGACGGCTGATAGAGAAATAAGGAACAGTACATATCAACCCTCCGTAGAGACAAGGGCAGGTTGATGATAATAATTGTATATTTTTAGCTGTAAGTAAAGTTTGGTTGTAACTTACAGTGTCTGAATTGAAATATTTTAGACATTAGTTGTATCTATAGGCCAGTTGTATAGGATTTATTTGGAAAAACTTAAATGGAAAATTAACTAGTTTCCGCCCGCGTGGAATAAAAGAGAAGAAAAGTGAATAGCATATGTGTTCTTCCACACAACCTTCTACATCTGTACAAAATTTCATTGAAATCCGTTCAGCCGTTATGGCTACTTTAAAAAACATCCATCCATCTTAACTTTCGCATTTATAATATTAGTAAGACCAATAAAGTAGTAAAAAATGTAATACACTTGTATAGTTTCGAAAAACATTTACCGAGTTGAACGAACTATGACTAAATGCAATAAAGTTTTCTGTAAATGGAAAAGCCAGTGAGTTCAGTTCTCGCCGCCAGTGGGCGCTGTTGTGACAATTCTAGCAGTTTTTCGCTAATAACATCGTAAATTCGATATAAAACTTGATTAATATTCCAAAGATAGCCTCCGTTTCAACATTTTATTGCGTGAACGAAACTTACGAATGATATTTAGAATTAATTTTTGTATCGTAAGGTAGCAAGTCAAATAGCGACGCTACGCGACGCTACCGATTTTCATTGTTATTGTTAATTATACACGCATAATGACATATTCGTTACTTAAAAAAAAACCGGACTGACTGAACCCCCAAGACAGGGATAGAGTCGAACAACCCCTTGACAAAATCCAGTCTCTAGCAATGGAACATAGGTGCTTTGAACATACAAAAATCTCCAAAACATACACTTAAAAAACAGGGAGAGAAAGAGAGAGAGAGAGAAGAAAAAATAACATGTATGATATCGCTTTTATGATTTATGTTATGTTTCCTAATGCCGTAGGGTCCACGGAAACTTGTGAAAATGCTACCTATTGTCAGGTCCACGTACAGTTTGTTTCCATTTACTGTTTGAATCAGTTTACACTAACTCATATCACGTCATGAAACCTTTTTTTTCCCAACAGTACTTATTATGTAGTAATTTTTGAGCAACATAGAGATAGCTAAGTAGCCCCCGTTTTGTAATTCACCAATCAACACATTTTCGCTCAGTTGTCTTTTATGCTTTTTATTACTTTTCAGTTACCTGAACTCTTTGTAAAGTGTACGATTTTAAACAAACTGTCATAATGTATTGTATATGGCATTAATAGTTAAAATAAATTTTGAAAATGCTGTGGAATCATCGTCGCTATGAGGGCGGCGCAAGTTCTTTCACAGGGCAGTCGTGTGCATTGCCACTGGTCAGCGAGTGCGTGCGCTGGCTGGTGCACTGTACACTCGCACAATAACTGACGTGACAAAGTTTTTAATTATTAGACGTGAAAATCGCCAGCTGCGAGTAGGAGGGATTTCAGTGGCCCCCATTTGACCGTCATTGCCATATTTGGCACGGCTCGAGTCTAAATATGGCCGGCGGCCGGCCCACTGCGCCGCGCCGCGAGCCGCGCTGCGCTTCCGACTCTATTATTTCTATTTACGAAATAAACTCAAAATAAAATCTCTATTTTAATACGGATTTCGGGCACTGAAACGTTCGCGGCTTCCCGGTTCCCTGCGGATGTGTCGGGTTACGCCGCGCTCCCGCGGCCGTCCCTCTCGCCGTCCGCAGCGACCCCGCGCGCAAGAGCGAGACGGATAGCAGTCGAGGCGCGCGGGACGCAGTCGCGCGAAGTCAGTTGCGGTCCGAGCGGCCGAGTCGTCAGTCCCGCCCTCGGTTCTTTCGCGTTTTCGGTCAGTCTCCGTTCGGCGTTCGAACGGTGAGGTGTGTATAGCGCGTGTGCGCACGGTTACTGTGGCGTACTGCGAGGTTATAATGGACGCGCCCGGCGGAGCGCGGGAGCCCCGCTTCGGGTCGCCGTACGGTATGGGACTCCTTGGGGATGTCGGTGATATGTACGGCGCAGGCCGGCCGCCCAGCTCGCTTGGCGGCGGCGGGCTGAGGCCGGGGATGCAGCCCTGCCCGGTGCCTAGGGCCGGCGTTAAGCGACCCTCGGACCAGTGCTACGACGAGAGGCCTTCGCAGAGTCTTGGTCTGGAACACTGCCCCATGCCTGACATAGCAGACGATGGTTATGCATCTCTTCAACCCAAGAAGTCTCCCCCATCCAATGGCAAGAAGACAAAAGGACGTGTTAAGATCAAGATGGAGTACATAGACAATAAACTCCGGCGATATACAACATTCTCCAAGCGGAAGACTGGCATCATGAAGAAGGTGGGTCGCAGACGGTTTTGGCAATATTCCATATATCAGCCAAGTGGACAATGTGACCATACTGTGCTGAGTGTCTGTCTACCTGGTACCATATGTTAGACTGTATTGGAAAGTGAAGTGTGGCTAATTCCGATTTAACACCGATGTGACTACAGCAAAATAAAATTTTACACTTATAAATGCATGAGAAAGCTTACAAAAGCCCTTGCAACCAGATTGAAAGGCATCAGATTACATGTTTTAAATTCATGCACTTTAAATTTTAATAATCTGGTTAAGAAATAATTAAAATTAAGTTTTAATGGTTAAAGAGTCGCTACCCTTGAGGTCAAAAAATGATTTCTCTTGGAAGTAGTTGTAAAAAACATGCACATTATATATGGGGATGTAATGTACAATGTTTTTGATATATTTTTTTAAAACATTTTTGATAATAAAAGTTTACAAATTGTAGTTCTATATTATGGTTAAGTTAAGTTTTGTCAAGGAATATCTATTGAATACATTTTGTTAATTATTTCTACTGTTTTTTAGCAAGTTACACTTCACTATCTATGCAAATTATAGAAGAAAAAATAATGAAGCAGTCCAATATTTTGTTGACTTTTGAGGTTATGCTTGTTCTACCAATATAAGATGGAATATTGCCGAAACCCGTCAAAATAATAGTTTTTTTACACTGTATATATTAATTTTTCAACGGAATAATGAAGAAAACTTGTGTCGTTGATGAAAAATCGGTGTTTTTGTGAGCATTTGTGATAAAAGTTTTGACAGATGTCAGCTGACATTTCGATATTTTACTGTAAGTATTACGAATTTGATGTTATATTATGGTTATTTAACTTAAATAAGCGTAAATAATAGTGTGGTAAATTCAATTTGCGTGTTTTCCTTATAATTATATTAGAAATTTGTATTTGTTTTTATCAATTACATGGCATCTGTCAATATGTTTGTCAGAAGTGCTCACTAGATGGCGCTGATTATCGTGGTTAATCGAAAGCCAAATATTTTTTTACTTAAAAATTGTTTATCACGTACTACACCAGTTTACGAAGTAATCCTAATTTATTAAGTTTAAAAAACTTCATGTTAATTCGTCTTCCAATAAATTTTCCATTAAATCCTACTTGAACAATTGTAAAATATCAAATATCTTTTGCGTGAGTTTTTGATGGTTTTAACAAAATTTTAGTGTTTTGTGTTGTGCACAAACTCTTCTGAACTTGGTAATAATGTTTAATAAGTCATATACATTTTAAAAATTGTTATTACTAATTATTTATACAATAATTTGATCATCAAATGAAATATTTTAACTTAAAAAATTGAGTTCCAAAGTGTTTCTAAAACAATTTATTTACACTCTGTATGTTCCTTTCGTATTTTAATTTTTAAATCAGTAAATATTTATGTAAAATAAATCATAAAGATAAAATAATATAAGATCATATTTACGTACTAAATGTAGGTATAAAGTGCCTTGACATAAAACGTAATATACAAACGGCATTAAAGTGCAGTGCAATTTGCGTAAATTAAAAAGCATGATACAACGTCTCCAGTCCGTGCATGGTTTTTTAATTATGAAGTTATAAATATTACTTCTTTAATCCGAATATAAAACGGAATTGTAGATAATATTGGAACTAGGTGAATATTGAAACGACAGTACATTAAGACACGTTTAAATCTTAGTAATGTAAATGTGAAAATTTAGATGAATGTGTGTTAGAGTTTTTAAACTTCTGAACGAATCTCTATAAAGGCATAGATGTAGAGGATAGTCTGGAAGAACACATAGACACACTTTTGTTTTTTTTTTATAATTCCACGCGGACGGAGTCGCGGGCGGATTAGAAGAAACGGTTCACTATACATGTAAGTTGTCGAACACAAGCTGGTAAAGTAAAAAGTGTTAGGGTCTGTCCCACCACTGACTGATAGAAGCTCAGATAGCTTGAAAATAACGTCACTGTCAGATAAGGGAACAAAGTAAGATATTTTAATCACATGTTACACTTTGGATTACAGGCCTTGTATTTATTATCTGTGTAACAGCTTGTAAAATTGTTTAGTAGGTGCCGTCACCAAATCATACGTGATGATGTGTTTTTAATTCGTTTTTTTATAATTGTTATTAGCTGTTAACTAACGTATTACAATCATCACTCGTTCTTTTGTTTTATTCGCAACTGATATCAATCTCGTTAATTCTGAGTGTGGTACACTGATAGAGGTAGACCTAGAAAGAGATGGATTGATTGCGTGAAAGTTGACATCAAGAAGGGAGTGATGACTGAGATGAAGGATGATAGAGTTATGTGGAGGACAAAAACCTATTGCGCTGACCCTACGGGAGTAGGATGATGAAGGAGATGATGATGAGATATCAATCTCGTTGTTATTTGATTTGCGTTAAAACCGCCATTGGATTAAAAAAAACTGAAATGAAGACAATTTTTTTTTCATTTTAACTCAATATAGATACCCAAGTAAAGATTAAACTGTGACGTTTTCAGATAAAAAAAAACTAACGATGTTTTTTTTCTAGTGTTACCAACCTTGCTCCAATAATTGTTAGATACAGCGAAGTAGCTGCGAGTTTGCGGTTTTAAAATTGCCGTTATATTGTGAAGCGAATTTTGGATCAAGGTTTTAATTTAATCTAAAAACGTAAAAAGGTTTCATAAGTAAAATGTATTGTGGTAACTTATTTTTTCTAATATTTCAATCTTCGTTACATTTTAATAAGAATATTAGTATGGATGTATTACTTTTCTAAATAACTAGTTCATAAATAATTTAAAAGTTAAAAATATCACTGTTTCGATTTACAATCGTATTGAAACGGAAATAACAAAACATAAGTAGAAATTATTTTTTTAATCGATCGTGTAACGTCAAAATATATTAACAGTTGGCACGAGATATAAACAAGCTGTCAATTGTCTTTTTTCGTAATAAAATTAATTGTCGTTAGGCGTTTGTTATTTAAATGAATTTGTCGATGTTATTAAATTGGTTTTGATGATATAGCTCGCACAATAAAAAACTTTATTTTATTGTTTACACGCGATTCCGTCCTCCCCGTATTAAAAAAACAAATACAAGTAGCATGTGTTCTTCCAAACTATCTTCTACATCTATGCCATCGAAATCCGTTCAGCCGTTAAGGCTACAAACTCTAACAAACATCCATCCATCCATCTAAACTTTCGCATTTATAATATTAATATGATAATGTCAAAATTGATTTGCACAAACTACAACGAAGGCTTTTACCCTTGAATAACATTTACCGTAACTATAACAATCTTGCTTCTTTGCAGCTATTTACGTGTAGTTTTTGTTCTTTTTTCGCATGACATTTTTTCCAAATTACTCACGCCCAAAATTAAATAGCGTGAAAATATGTAGACTTTAGACTGTCGGAAGTGAAAGGCTTCTTCATTTAAAAATATAGCCTTTGTTACTAAGTGATAAAGTAGCTTTCTAATGGTAAAATAAATTTTGTTACTGACCCAGTAGTTTTCGATATTTCAATACATAAAAAAACCTTTTCTCTTTTTAATATTAGTATAGATTTAATTATTAATATTAGTAAGAGCATTTCGAGGATAAGCCGGGTAACGGGTGTCATGTAGACAAGGGTAACTACGGCACGCGATGTGCGTTGTCTCGCAGCGGGAATCGAACCCAGTATCTTGTAGCGGGTAGCAACACGGGATGCTCTTTGTTTGCTTTGTTCTGGTTTGTTTGACTTTGATGGTTTGCACTACTTTGTGCTACCGTTTTATCTAAGTTCTTTGGAAACTACAAGTAAGGTAAAGTGTCGAATTGTAAAATATTGAACTTCAGAGAGGGAGAGAATTATTCGTACTCATGGTTTGAGTGGCAACTCAAGATGTCAATTAGATTATTGTAAGAATGTGTCGGTATAAACCTCACTAAGGGATTCTTTAATTATATATTTTTGTACTCTCAGTCGAAATCGGTGATTAAAGTGAATATTATTGAAGAATAATTTCATCCAAATAGATCGTATTAAGAAAACATGCCAAGTTTTTACTAACATTCGACTCATAGATTACTTTACACTAGGTGCTGCTTGCGACTTTGACCGCGTGAAATTAAAAAAAAAACCCAATGCTACTAAGTGATAAAGTAACTTTTTAATGTTTGAGTTATTACATTACACACAAAAATACAAATCTTTTCTTTCTAAATATTAGCATAGATATACAGGTAACAGAACGTCTATAGCAAGCCTAAGTAAGTTCGTTGTAATAAAATGTAGTTCATTTAGTTATTGGATATATAGAGCGCCATAAATTCGGTCATGTCCACTTGGGAGTTTAATTACGCCGCCCCAGGGGCCGCTGGTGCGACACGACCGCTTAATGTCGGCGAAGCTTGTCGGCGAAGTGTGTCGGCATAGCGCAATTGTCGGCGAAGATGTCGGCATATAGGCCGACATTGTCCTGTAATTAAAAGGGACGATGCACGGCTCGATTTCAAAGTAGTCAATTTGCGTTATTGAGAGGTTCCTAAGATTATTGATTTCTGCCCTATCAGGCTTCAAAGCATATTTAAAAGATTGTATTTGACAATTTATCAAAATTTAAGTTACTATAGAAATACGGCTATAAATAGATACAACGGTATATTTTCCTAAACAGTAGAAATTTTTTTAATGCTTCTACAACTGTCTACTTATCTACAGAATACGATCGTAATTCCACTCAAATTTAAACTTTTTAAATTTTAAACTGTTTAAATAACTTTTTCATTATAACACGTGCGTCGTTACAATAGTTGCAATAAAAGCCTGTCTCGGATAAATATTGGCGATACAACGAAATAAATACAGTTGGTTTCCCCAGGTGGGCCGCGGCCGGTGCAGGGGTCACGACATCTCTTGTTAACGACCATCTCACTAAACAGTTAATCTAAAATATGTAGAATAATAGGGGTACAATAGCCAGTCAGAATTT